GAAGAGGAGAAAGAGGAGGAGGAGGGGGAAGGGGAGGAAGGGTGAGGAGGAGGGGGAGGGAGAAGAGGGAAGAGAGGGAGGAGGGGTAGGAGGAGGAGGACTTTGAGGGCAATTTACGGTTATGCATATTTTACTGTAATAAAATTTATCAACTTAAATATTTACTGTTAGAATTTAAATATTCACTTTTAGATCACACCTCATAATTATAAAACTTTTTAAGTAAATGACATCAAAACTTTAAATCAGAGCAGTCCGAAAGCATCCAGAAATTATCTAATTCAGCTCCTCTCCTTTACAGGTGAGAAAACAGGCCTTGTGGGCAGGTTTGCTGCGTGGCCTCCTCTGTTAGCTCCCTAGGAAGTGGCCTGGGCTGAGGTAGGACTGAAAGATCTTTGTTTGTTTCACATATTACACCAGCAAGTCTGTACTTGGAAAGACAAAGCAGGTGGTATGTATCAATAGCATTAATCTAGCTTTAACAGTTTAGAAATAAGTTCTCTATAGAAGAGAACCACGAAGCAAAGGAAGGCCAAATATTTACCACTTTATTCTCGTCTTCTTGGGTGACATGGATACGATATTGCTCAATATCTTAAAGAAAAAAGAGGTAAATTTAACCTTCAAGAAAAAAAATACCTTCAGTATTCTTTGCCTAACATTTGGGAGCAAATTTTATAAATCAAATACAGATTAAACAACTGGCTAGAAAACAGTGCTATCAAAGACAATAATCTCACCAGAGAAACCCAAAAAGAAAGGAAAAGTGGGAACTGCCTGTCGCCCTCCTCTTGGCCCAGTCTGCCTCAGGACCTACACAACCCGCCCTCACATCAGCCATGCGCGCCCTGAGCTTCTCCCCTCCTTCTTCAGCGAGGACTTGCGCCCACAGTCAGTGCTACCCGGGGCTGGCTGAGCTTCACCCTCAGCTTTCAGATACCAAGCACAAGCCTGCGGGCCTCTAGACAGAAACTCGAGGGATGAGGCTCCGGGGGAAGTCTCACCCTAAACACTTGAAGTCAATCTGTAGACGGTCCCTTATTATCGTTAACAATTCAGATTCTGTCACCCTGACCCTCCTGCCAGCTCTAGTCACAAAAATGTGAGAACACTGAGTCTGAGCGTAGAGACCGAGCACGACCCCAGTGCGTCAGCTCAGGCCTGTCCTCAAGCCTCAAGTCAGAAGTTGCATTTACCACATGGAAGCTTACTAGATAAGCTCCACCAGCAAACTGTCCTTCCCTGCCCTTCCCAAATGTAAAAACATCACGTAATGACCTAACCTTTTGCCACTTTTTTTTGTTGTTGTTTTTTGGGGGTTTTTTTGGTTTTTTTTTTTTTTTTGCCTTACTTGAATTTGGCCAAGTTAGTATGTGTCCTCAGATCTGCCCTGGGGTTCTTCTTGCTCCACAAGCCTCCCTTCTCTCCGTCTACCTCTCCTTCCTTGTATCATGCTATCCACTGCGATAGTCTGAAGAACAGTGGACCGAAAGTGGCAAAATGACTCACACAATTATTCTATAAGCAGCCAACCACGTGACAAAATTGGCAGACTATGTACAGAAGGGTTCATCGTTCCCAAGATGAAGCTTAGGGGAACAACACCTTGGGCCAAAAGGAAAAGCTCCACCATAGCAATTCTATGGCTCAGATAGACCAATGCCGCCGGCTCCTCAGTAATGGCAAAGACATCTAGAAGATTCAATCATGCCCCTCACTTCAGGAGGAGACTATGCACCCCTCATATGTCCCCCTGTGCCACCTCAAGATGAACTTACATTTCTCTTCTGAAACCAGTAACAGGTGGCTTTGTGGAAGAGGATGACTTGTTACACGTGGGTACAGGAACTGCAAAAAGGAGAGATAATCAGAGTCTCAGGCAAGTATCTTGCCTGCACACATGCTTCAAAGGTTGTCTTTGAAGATCTAAAGAGGTGGCTCAGTGATAGCGCACTTGCCTAGCACACAACACACAGCCCTGGGTTCCATCCCTGGTACCTCAAGGGAGAAAAGTGTTTGATGACTATACCACTACCGCATGTCATAACAGGGACTGGGACCCACAGGATAGTTTAGGGGAATCACAGGCTTGCATGCACGCACACACAAATACAGATACTGCAGACCCAAGAGAACAGAAGAGGAACACTTTGAGGACCTTAGTTTCCCAGAGGGAAGTTGCTCTCTGGTACAACACTGTCACCACTCCCGTAAGTCATGAGGCCAAGGTTGAATGTGTTTCTAGTGACAGTGCTTTCTGTTGAGAGTACTGGATTCTGAAGACGGCCAGAACCAATGCGAACAATGCTGACAGCTATGTTCTGTCGCACACAGAGGGGTCTGTGCACCCGGTGTGCAGCCATACCCTAGGTGTGTCAGGTGAGGGCCCAGGGAACACACTCCCCACTCTGCTAAAATCCCACACCCAAGAAACAAAGCAGAACATGGCTGGGACTTTCCAGGAACAGACAGTGAGTCACAATGTGGCATTTGGTTGTTAAAGCCTCAAAGAATAACTTCCGGGGGGCGGGGGGTCTCCCCCATTTCTCCTTTATGGTGTCCTCCATGGGGCCACAGCCACACAAAGCAGTGCCACAAGGCCTGAGCCTGTCAGCTGAGACAATAAAGGAAAATTAGCCATGAGAAAACTCTAGGGATTTAAGTTTTTCACCATCAAAAAGATGACTTAGTCATTTCATTTTATAGCGAGAAAGGCAGCTCGCTAAGACCTACCAATGAATTTTGTTTTCAAAAAAAAAAAAAAAAACCTGAAAACATTATCAAAGGGCATACAGTAACTTTTTATTTCTTAGCTTTATAGCCATGGGTCTCACCAAAAACCTAAGAAAATTTTTGATAAAATTTATGACTTGGTGCTCTAACTTTTTGTAACAGTAAATTAGAACCAGAACTGGTTTCTTTAAGTATTTATAGTCACATCCACCTTTTAGAAGTGAAAAACCAAACACACACTACCTACCATTCCCACAGCAGTAACTCTAAAATTATAAGCAAGGCAGCAACACAGAATTCGGCTACACAGGTAATGCAGAGTTAATGCTCGTGCGTGGTGAGGATGCCCACAAACCGGGCAGCGCCTGAGTGCCCGGCTAAAGGAAAGGTGGGGGTGCAGCACAGGGAGGCAACTTCCCACAGCAGACCTCTGCAGCACAGAGGTGGCCTGCTGGGCCCAGGAGCTGTGCGAGAGCCATAAAAGTCAACCTCTCAGGTCTGCATGGTCTTCCTGGTAAAAATGTGATTCCTAAGATCCATTTAGGTAGCACCTGTGAGGCAGCCTTAGAGCGAGGCCTGAAGGTCAAAACCAAGAGGCTTCAAACACAGTTCTCACAAAAGCAGCCACATGGCCTTTTTCACCTTAAATAAGAATGTGGATAGATGTTACACAGATTTAGAAAAACACATTATCTTCACCAATATGGAGACGGACCTGGAGGTCAATACTTATCCCTGGGAGGCAGGAAGGGCTATATGGAGAGAGCTGTGTGCCCCCCACTGGAGCTACCCAGAAGATGCCTGGCACCGTGGCAGGGACCCTCACAGGATGCCACACTGGGTCCTAGCCCCACCCAGCACACTCCTGCTGAAAGCTGACTGAAGAGGCACCTGCTGGCTGGACACGTACACCTGGAAACCCCTGGAGTGGTTCACTGAGAAAAGGAGATGAAGTCATGGCTGCCTGGTGGCATGAGGGTGGGTGGGGTGAGGCAGAGGAGGGAGAAAGTGAGGATTGGCATGGGTGAAGGCTTTGACAGACCCTTTGTCCGTCCGTTTGTCTGTCTGTCTGTCTCTGCCTTGCTCCCTCTCCCTCCCTCTCTCCCTCTTTCGCTCCCCTTCTTTCCCTCTCTCGGCACAAGCCTGGGAACTGAGATCGCCCCACAGAAGCAATACAGATTCTACTTTGAGTGCAGGGGTTTTCTCTGACTCGCTGTCTTACATCATATTCTTAGTTGGTTTAACTAAGATAAAATTTGCTTCACAAAATTCATCATCTTCACCACTTTAAAGCACACAGTTTTTGGTAGCATTTCATCTGCTCCTGACACTGCACAACCCAGTACTTCTTTTTTTTTTTTTTTTTTTTCTGTGGAACCGGTGATAGAACTCAGGCCCAGTACTTCTGAAAATCCCTTTTCTCTTTCCTCTGAGGGGCTCTCTCCTTCCGCCCCATCTCCCATCCTTTGCCCTGGGTGAGGTTCCTAAGAAAGCCACAAGGCAAGGAGAAAAGGGAACTGCACTGTCCCATAGTCACCCCTGCCCCCATGACACAGAGACAGTGGAGACAGCGTGATTCCCAAGGGGAGGGAAGGTCGGCCCAGTGCTCCCAGTGCCCTGGAGAGCGAGTGCCCTGGCTGCCCCAGGGAATGGGAGCCAACAAGAGGCAGGAACTGCAGGTGGCACCAGTTGCCAAAGCAGTGTTTGACCCTGGGGCAGAAAGTGAAATTAGGCACAGAGAAACCAAGCCACAGCATGTTCCCTTTGACTGACTTGTCACTTGTGGTAGCTATCGCTCAGTCACCTCATGGCCCGCACGCTGTGGACTCTGAACATGGAGCCCACAGTGAAAGCCTGTAACTGGTGCCCAAATGATGTCTGGTGCGGAGCAAACAGATCTCCTTCTTGTGCCTGATTTGAGGGCCATGACAACAGTCCATGCGCTGTGGTAGGTGACTCAGCGCATGTCCGCGAGGCCTGGGGAAGTGCCGCATTAATCACCAGTTACAAACCCGTTTTAGTGATTGAAACTCAGACTCTGAAGTAAAGGAGATGGAGGCTCCTGCACACGAAGCGCTCCTGCACCAACTCACGTGGATGCTGACTTAGGGGAGTACGTCATTTAATCATAGACAATTAGCCAGTCAGTTAGATGAAGCCATTACATGAACTATTTAAAAGCTGATTATAAATATTTTAATATTTGATATTTCATCAAATGGAGAGTATCACCTTATTATTAGACAAGCCGCAGCAGTAAGGCAGAGCTGAGGAGCTGGTTGATTTCAGACCTTAACTTGCATTTGCCGAGGAAGAGTCACCCTCCAGGGTTCCCCTGCAGGGACAGTTCTAAGGCAGAGATGCGCAAACATCGTCTCCTTATGTTTTGATAATGAGGTGTTATGGGGCAAGCGAGCCTACCTGAACCCAGATACAGCTGTCCACGGCTTTTAGAACCTTCACATAGTTAACAGGGAAGATTTCCACCAGCAAAGTTAAGCACTTTGATCCTAAGAGAAAAGGAGGCTTTTAGTAATGAAGATTTATTTGGGTAGCATGTGTTACCTCTCCCAAAGTATACAGAGAAAGAAACTGGTGAATCCCTTTACATCAACTGTAAACTACCGAAACGCTTCTCTCATCATTATAAAGTCCCCTGAGGTGAAAAAAACTAATTCTATCCCCAGTTCCATTCTTCAGGGACGCATGCATCTCCGAGACCCCAAAAGAGCAACCAGCCAGCAAGGGACCTGCATCCCACATCCTCGGGTGTACTAACTCTGCTTTTGACTGTGAGAAACACATGAGCCAAAGGATGCAAATGCCAAGAGGGAAGTCTCTGAGCAGCCCTGGAAGTGACAGTAAGTGGGGGACGGGTGCACCCACTGAAGTACAAGTGCTTGCTGAAATCGAACGTGATCACCCTAGCACTCCCGCCAGCACCGCACAAGGGTGCCCAGCAAGCTGGACTCCAGTGGGCTTCATTTCTCCCCTAAGTTTTCATAATCCTGCTGTGCACAAATAGATACATCTGAATTGTGCAAGTGTGTGTTTCCTATCACATTAGCGACTCCTGAAGGAAGTGGAATTATCTTCAAATTTACTTTGACATGTCTTAAACCCACAGTAGGGGCTGGGGTGTAGATCAGTGGTAGAGCACTTGCCTAGCATGTATGAGGTCCTGGATTGAATCCCTAGCATCACAAAAGAAAGAGACAGACAGACAGACAGACAGGATCGCAGGATGAAGTCCAGGGGTGTGCAGGGAGGAACAGTGCCTGGCAATGCACTGATCATTTTCTCCCCAGCTGCCTAGCCCTCTAGGCTCTTATATCTAAACGAGCAGCCCTCGCCTTGGCGTCCCCCCAGCTCCCGCAGCGCGCCAGCACCCATCCCGTGTGTGTAAAACTGGGAAGCTATTTCTGGTGCATGAGCACACACGTCTCTATCAGCAGGACAGTGGCCGGGTTTCCCACAGGAACAGCGTGTGAGTGGCACTGATGGTGACCGCTTAGGTCCTCAGTGTCACTCCTGAGCAAATGGCACTAAAGATAGCAATAAAGAGGAAGCCCCTGGCTTGAGTGGGCAGCCACTGATATCCACATTTAGATCCAAGCTTCTGTGTCCAGGGAAATCCCAGAGA